GTCTGTCTGTGTGTGTGTGTGTCTGTGTGTGTGTGTGTGTGTGTGTGTGTGTGTGTGTGTGTGTGTGTCTGTGTGTCTGTGTGTGTGTGTGTCTGTGTGTGTGTGTGTCTGTGTGTGTGTGTGTGTGTGTGTGTGTGTGTGTGTCTCTGCAGGTTCACATTGGGTATCTCCCCAACAAGAGGGTCCTGGGCCTCAGCAAACTCGCCAGGTAACAACTCCAAGACTGACTCTGGACCTGGTTTAGACCTGGTTTAGACCTGGTTTAGTCCTGGTTTAGACCTGGTTTAGTCCTGGTTTAGTCCTGGTTTAGACCTGGTTTAGTCCTGGTTTAGTCCTGGTTTAGTCCTGGTTTAGTCCTGGTTTAGACCTGGTTTAGTCCTGGTTTAGTCCTGGTTTAGTCCTGGTTTAGACCTGGTTTAGACCTGGTTTAGTCTGGTTTAGACCTGGTTTAGTCCTGGTTTAGACCTGGTTTAGTCCTGGTTTAGTCCTGGTTTAGTCCTGGTTTAGAGGAGGTGGTTTAATCCTCTTTTCTTGTTGTGATCCTTTGACACTAATTAATTCTACAGGATTAAACAAGACCCGGACCTGGACCAGGACCAGGACCTGGACCAGGACCAGGACCTGGACTTTTCAAAACTGACATGTTGTTTGTTTCTCTGAAATTTGACCCTTGACCCGAGAACTTCAGTGAAACAACAAAAACACATTTCACCATTTAGTCACAGTTTGTCTGCCCCTGTCTGCCCCTGTCTGCCCCTGTCTGCCCCTGTCTGCTCCTGCCTGCCCCTGCCCCTGTCTGCCCCTGTCTGCCCCTGTCTGCCCCTGTCTGCCCCTGTCTGCCCTGTCTGCCCTGTCTGCCCCTGTCTGCCCCTGTCTGCCCCTGTCTGCCCCTGTCTGCCCTGTCCTGCCCCTGTCTGCCCCTGCCCCTGTCTGCTGCCTGTCTGCCGTCTGTCTGCCCTGTCTGCCCCTGTGCCTGTCTGCCCCTGTCTGCCCCTGTCTGCCCCTGCCTGCCTGCCCCTGCTGCCCCTGTCTGCTCCTGTCTGCTCCTGTCTGCTCCTGTCTGCCCCTGTCTGCTCCTGCCTGCCGCCCTGTCCTGCTCCCTGTCTGCCCCTGTCTGCCCCTGTCTGCTCCCTGCCTGCTCCTGTCTGCTCCCTGTCTGCCCCTGTCTGCCCCTGTCTGCCCCTGTCTGCTGCCTGTCTGCTCCTGCCTGCTCCTGTCTGCCCCTGTCTGCTCTGTCTGCCTCCTGTCTGCCCCTGCTCTGCCCCTGTCTGCCCCTGCCTGCTCCTGTCTGCCCTGCTGCCTGCTGCTCCTGTCTGCTCCTGTCTGCTCCTGCCTGCTCCTGTCTGCCCCTGTCTGCCCCTGTCTGCTCCTGCCTGCTCCTGTCTGCTCCTCCTGCCCCTGTCTGCTCCTGTCTGCTGCTCCTGCCTGCTCCTGTCTGCTCCTGCTGCTCTGCCTGCCTCCTGCTCCTGTCTGCCCTGCCTGCCCCTGTCTGCCCCTGTCTGCCCCTGTCTGCTGCCTGTCTGCTCTGCCTGTCTGCTCCTGCTGTCTGCTCTGCCTGTCCTGCTCCTGTCTGCTCCTGTCATATTAAGACATTTTAACTTTAACTTTGTTTTTGTTTTTTTTTTGTTTCTTTTTTTCTAGAATCGTTGAAATCTACAGCCGAAGACTTCAAGGTACGAGTCCCCCGACCACAAGGTTGTGGGTTTGATTCTGTGGTTCAGGAGGTTGTGGGTTTGATTCTCTCTCTGTAGTTCACGAGGTTGTGGGTTTGATTCTCTCTCTGTAGTTCACGAGGTTGTGGGTTTGATTCTCTCTCTGGTTCAGGAGGTTGTGGGTTTGATTCTGTAGTTCAGGAGGTTGTGGGTTTGATTCTGTAGTTCAGGAGGTTGTGGGTTTGATTCTGTAGTTCAGGAGGTTGTGGGTTTGATTCTGTAGTTCAGGAGGTTGTGGGTTTGATTCTGTGGTTCAGGAGGTTGTGGGTTTGATTCTCTCTCTGTAGTTCAGGAGGTTGTGGGTTTGATTCTCTCTCTGTAGTTCACGGAGGTTGTGGGTTTGATTCTCTCTCTGGTTCAGAGGTTGTGGGTTTGATTCTCTCTCTGTGGTTCAGGAGGTTGTGGGTTTGATTCTGTAGTTCAGGAGGTTGTGGGTTTGATTCTGTAGTTCAGGAGGTTGTGGGTTTGATTCTGTAGTTCAGGAGGTTGTGGGTTTGATTCTCTCTGTAGTTCAGGAGGTTGTGGGTTTGATTCCTGTCTCTGTAGTTCAGGAGGTTGTGGGTTTGATTCTCTCTCTGTAGTTCAGGAGGTTGTGGGTTTGATTCTCTCTCTGTAGTTCAGGAGGTTGTGGGTTTGATTCTCTCTCTGTAGTTCACGAGGTTGTGGGTTTGATTCTCTCTCTGTGGTTCAGGAGGTTGTGGGTTTGATTCTGTAGTTCAGGAGGTTGTGGGTTTGATTCTGTAGTTCAGGAGGTTGTGGGTTTGATTCTGTGGTGATTCTGTGGTTCAGGAGGTTGTTGGGTTTGATTCTGTAGTTCAGGAGGTTGTGGGTTTGATTCTCTGTGGTTTCTAGGGTTTTTGATTCTTTGTTCAGGAGGTTGTGGGTTTGATTCTGTAGTTCAGAAGGTTGTGGTTTGATTCTGTGTTCAGGAGGTTGTGGGTTTGATTCTCTGTGGTTCAGGAGGTTGTGGGTTTGATTCTGTAGTTCAGGAGGTTGTGGGTTTGATTCTGTGGTTCAGGAGGTTGTGGGTTTGATTCTGTAGTTCAGGAGGTTGTGGGTTTGATTCTGTAGTTCAGGAGGTTGTGGGTTTGATTCTGTAGTTCAGGAGGTTGTGGGTTTGATTCTCTTTCTGTAGTTCAGGAGGTTGTGGGTTTGATTCTCTCTGTAGTTCAGGAGGTTGTGGGTTTGATTCTCTCTGTAGTTCACGAGGTTGTGGGTTTGATTCTCTCTCTGTAGTTCAGGAGGTTGTGGGTTTGATTCTCTCTCTGTGGTTCAGGAGGTTGTGGGTTTGATTCTCTCTGTAGTTCAGGAGGTTGTGGGTTTGATTCTCTCTGTGGTTCAGGAGGTTGTGGGTTTGATTCTCTCTCTGTAGTTCAGGAGGTTGTGGGTTTGATTCTCTCTCTGTAGTTCAGGAGGTTGTGGGTTTGATTCTCTCTCTGTAGTTCAGGAGGTTGTGGGTTTGATTCTGTAGTTCAGGAGGTTGTGGGTTTGATTCTCTCTCTGTGGTTCAGGAGGTTGTGGGTTTGATTCTCTCTGTAGTTCAGGAGGTTGTGGGTTTGATTCTCTCTCTGTAGTTCAGGAGGTTGTGGGTTTGATTCTCTCTGTAAGTTCAGGAGGTTGGTGGGTTTGATTCCTCTCTGTAGTTCAGGAGGTTGTGGTTTGATGATTCTCTCTCTGTAGTTCAGGAGGTTGTGGGTTTGATTCTCTCTCTGTAGTTCAGGAGGTTGTGGGTTTGATTCTCTCTCTGTAGGTTCAGGAGGTTGTGGGTTTGATTCTCTCTTGTAGTTCAGGAGGTTGTGGGTTGATTCTCTCTCTGTGGAGTTGTGGTTGATTCTCTCTCTTGGTTCAGGAGTTGTGGGTTTGATTCTGTAGTTCAGGAGGTTGTGGGTTTGATTCTCTCTCTGTAGTTCAGGAGGTTGTGGGTTTGATTCTCTCTCTGTGGTTCAGGAGGTTGTGGGTTTGATTCTGTAGTTCAGGAGGTTGTGGGTTTGATTCTCTTTCTGTAGTTCAGGAGGTTGTGGGTTTGATTCTCTCTCTGTAGTTCAGGAGGTTGTGGGTTTGATTCTCTCTCTGTAGTTCAGGAGGTTGTGGGTTTGATTCTCTCTCTGTGGTTCAGGAGGTTGTGGGTTTGATTCTGTGGTTCAGGAGGTTGTGGGTTTGATTCTGTAGTTCAGGAGGTTGTGGGTTTGATTCTGTAGTTCAGGAGGTTGTGGGTTTGATTCTGTAGTTCAGGAGGTTGTGGGTTTGATTCTGTCTCTGTAGTTCAGGAGGTTGTGGGTTTGATTCTGTCTCTGTAGTTCAGGAGGTTGTGGGTTTGATTCTCTCTCTGTAGTTCAGTGAGGTTTTTGATTCTCTCTCTGTGGTTCAGGAGGTTGTGGGTTTGATTCTGTCTCTGTAGTTCACGAGGTTGTGGGTTTGATTCTCTCTCTGTGGTTCAGGAGGTTGTGGGTTTGATTCTGTAGTTCAGGAGGTTGTGGGTGTGGGTTTTATTCTGTAGTTCAGGAGGTTGTGGGTTTGATTCTCTCTCTGTAGTTCAGGAGGTTGTGGGTTTGATTCTCTCTCTGTGGTTCAGGAGGTTGTGGGTTTGATTCTCTCTGTAGTTCAGGAGGTTGTGGGTTTGATTCTCTCTGTAGTTCAGGAGGTTGTGGGTTTGATTCTGTCTCTGTAGTTCAGGAGGTTGTGGGTTTGATTCTCTCTGTAGTTCAGGAGGTTGTGGGTTTGATTCTCTCTCTGTAGTTCAGGAGGTTGTGGGTTTGATTCTCTCTCTGTGGTTCAGGAGGTTGTGGGTTTGATTCTGTAGTTCAGGAGGTTGTGGGTTTGATTCTGTAGTTCAGGAGGTTGTGGGTTTGATTCTGTAGTTCAGGAGGTTGTGGGTTTGATTCTCTCTCTGTAGTTCAGGAGGTTGTGGGTTTGATTCTCTCTCTGTGGTTCAGGAGGTTGTGGGTTTGATTCGAGGTTGTGGGTTTGATTCTCTCTGTAGTTCAGGAGGTTGTGGGTTTGATTCTCTCTCTGTAGTTCAGGAGGTTTGTGGGTTTGATTCTCTCTGTTTCAGGAGTTGTGGGTTTGATTCTCTCTGTAGTTCAGGAGGTTGTGGGTTTGATTCTCTTCTCTGTAGTTCAGGAGGTTGTGGGTTTGATTCTCTCTCTGTGTTCAGGAGTTGTGGGTTTGATTCTGTAGTTCAGGAGGTTGTGGGTTTGATTCTGTAGTTCAGGAGGTTGTGGTTTGATTCTGTAGTTCAGGAGGTTGTGGGTTTGATTCTCCTGTAGTTTCAGGAGGTTGTGGGTTTGATTCTCTCTCTGTTCAGGAGGTTTTGTGGTTTGATTCTCTCTCTGTAGTTCAGGAGGTTGTGGGTTTGATTCTCTCTCTGTAGTTCAGGAGGTTGTGGGTTTGATTCTCTCTGTAGTGTTTCCTGTGGTTTGATTCTCTGTTCAGAGGTTTGTGGGTTTGATTCTGTAGTTCAGGAGGTTGTGGGTTTGATTCTCTTTCTGTAGTTCAGGAGGTTTGGGTTGACTTCTCTCTCTGAGAGTTGTGGGTTTGATTCTCTCTCTGTTCAGGAGGTTGTGGGTTTTGTTCTGTAGTTCGGAGGTTGTGGTTGTTTCTTCTGTAGTTCAGGAGGTTGTGGGTTTGATTCTTTCTCTGTAGTTCAGGAGGTTGTGGGTTTGATTCTCTCTGTGGTTCAGGAGGTTGTGGGTTTGATTCTCTCTGAGGAAGGTTGTGGGTTTGATTCTCTCCTGTCTCTCTCTGTAGTTCACGAGGTTGTGGGTTTGATTCTCTCTGTGTTGTGGGTTTGATTCTCTCTCTTAGTTCACGAGGTTGTGGGTTTGATGTATTCGTGGGTTTGATTCTGTAGTTCATTCTTCAGGAGGGTGTGGGTTTGATTCTCTTTCTGTAGTTCAGGAGGTTGTGGGTTTGATTCTGTCTTGGTTCAGGAGGTTGGGTTTGATTCTCTCTGTGTTCAGGAGTTGTGGTTTGATTCTCTCTCTGTAGTTCAGGAGGTTGTGGTTTGATTCTCTCTCGTAGTTCAGAGGTTGTGGGTTTGATTCTCTCTCTGTGTTCAGGAGGTTGTGGGTTTGAATCTGTAGTTCAGGAGGTTGTGGGTTTGATTCTGTAGTTCAGGAGGTTGTGGTTTTCTCTTCAGGAGGTTGTGGGTTTGATTCTCTCTCTGTAGTTCAGGAGGTTGTGGGTTTGATTCTCTCTCTGTTCAGGGGTTGTGGGTTTTTTCTAGTCAGGAGGTTGTGGGTTTGATTCTGTCTCTGTAGTCAGGGGTTGTGGTTTGATTCTCTTTGTGTTCAGAGGTGTGGGTTTGATTCTCTCTGTGGTTCAGGAGGTTGTGGGTTTGATTCTCTCGTGGTTCAGGAGGTTGTGGTTTGATTCTACTCTGTAGTTCAGGAGGTTGTGGGTTTGATTTGTCTCTGTAGTTCAGGAGGTGGGTTTGGGTTGATTCTTGTCTCTGGGTAGTAGTTCAGGACGTTGTGGGGTTTGTATTCTCTCTCTGTAGTTCAGGAGTTGTGGGTTTGATTCTCTCTGTATTCAGGAAGGTTGTGGTTGATTCTCTCTCTGTAGTTCACGAGTTGTGGGTTTGATTCTCTCTCTGTAGTTCAGGAGTTGTGGGTTTGATTTTCTTCTGAGGTTGGAGGTTGTGGGTTTGATTCTGTGTTCAGTTTTGGGGTTGTGGGTTTGATTCCTGTAGTCAGAGGTTGTGGGTTTGATTCTCTCTCTGTAGTTCAGGAGGTTGTGGTTTGATTCTCTCTCTGTAGTTCACGGAGGGAGGTTGTGGGTAGTTGAGTTCTCCTTCTGTAGTTCAGGAGGGTTGTGGGTTCAGGAGGTTGTGGGTTTGAGGAGGTCTCTCTCTCTCTCTGTAGTTTTGATGGGTTTGATTCTCTCTCTGTTTCAGGATATTGTGGGTTTTGTTTGTTTTCTCTCTGTGTTCAGGAGTGTGTTTTGATTCTGTAGTTCAGGAGATTGTGGGTTTGATTCTGTTTCAGGAGGTTGTGGGTTTGATTCTGGTTTTGATGTCTCTCTAGTCAGGAGGTTGTGGGTTTGATTCTCTTTCTTGTCAGGAGGTTGTGGGTTATTCTCTAGTTCAGGAGGTTGTGGGTTTGATTCTCTCTGTAGTTCAGAGGTTTGGGTTTTGATTCTCTCTGTGTTCAGTTGTGATTCTCTCTGTAGGGAGTGTGGGTTTGATTCTCTCTCTGTGGTTCAGGAGGTTGTGGGTTTTGATTCTGTAGTTCAGGAGGTGTGTTTGGGTTTGTGGCTGTGGAGGTTGTGTTCTCTCTCTGTATTCTCTCTGTAGTTCAGGAGGTTGTGGGTTTGATTCTCTCTGTGTTCAGGAGGTTGTGGGTTGATTCTCTCTAGTTCAGGAGGTTGTGGGTTTGATTCTGTCTGTAGTTCAGGAGTGTGGGTTTGTTCTCTCTCTGTAGTTCACGAGGTTGTGGGTTTGATTCTCTCTGTGGTTCAGGAGGTTGTGGGTTTGATTCTCTCTCTGTAGTTCCGGAGCGCCTGACGAAGCAGATCGCGGTGGCCATCACGGAGGCGCTGCAGCCGTCGGGGGTCGGGGTCGTCGTCGAGGCAACGTGAGTCTGTGTGATTAAAGCCACAATCTGTAACTTTTTATTTGTCCGAAATCAAGACTTGAACATTAAGAACCAATGAGACGCATTCTGTCCCCGAGTGTGACACACATGTGTGTGGGTCTGTGTGTGACAGACACACGTGTGTGTGTGTGTGTGTGGGTCTGTGTGTTACACACACGTGTGTGTGGGTCTGTGTGTTACACACACACACGTGTGTGTGTGGGTCTGTGTGTTACACACACACGTGTGTATGGGGCTGTGTGTTAGACACACGTGTGTATGGGTCTGTGTGTTAGACACACGTGTGTATGGGTCTGTGTGTTACAGACACATGTGTGTATGGGTCTGTGTGTTAGACACATGTGTGTATGGGTCTGTGTGTTACAGACACGTGTGTATGGGGATGTGTGTTACAGACACGTGTGTATGGGGATGCGTGTTACAGACACGTGTGTATGGGGATGCGTGTTACAGACACATGTGTGTATGGGGATGCGTGTTACAGACACATGTGTGTATGGGGATGCGTGTTACAGACACGTGTGTATGGGGATGCGTGTTACAGACACATGTGTATGGGGATGCGTGTTACAGACACATGTGTATGGGGATGCGTGTTACAGACACATGTGTATGGGGATGCGTGTTACAGACACATGTGTATGGGGATGCGTGTTACAGACACATGTGTATGGGGATGCGTGTTACAGACACATGTGTATGGGGATGCGTGTTACAGACACATGTGTACACATGTGTATGGGGATGCGTGTTACAGACACATGTGTATGGGGATTGCGTGTTACAGACACATGTGGTACACATGTGTATGGGGATGCGTGTTACAGACACATGTGTATGGGGATGCGTGTTACAGACACATGTGTATGGGGATGCGTGTTACAGACACATGTGTATGGGGATGCGTGTTACAGACACATGTGTATGGGATGCGTGTTACAGACACATGTGTATGGGGATGCGTGTTACAGACACATGTGTATGGGGATGCGTGTTACAGACACATGTGTATGGGGATGCGTGTTACAGACACATGTGTATGGGGATGCGTGTTACAGACACATGTGTATGGGGATGCGTGTTACAGACACATGTGTATGGGGATGCTGTTGTGTGTATGGGGCGTGTTACAGACACATGTGTATGGTGATGTGTGTTACAGACACATGTGTATGGGGATGCGTGTTACAGACACATGTGTATGGTGATGCGTGTTACAGACACATGTGTATGGTGATGTGTGTTACAGACACATGTGTATGGTGATGTGTGTTACAGACACATGTGTATGGTGATGCGTGGGGTGCAGAAGATGAATTCCAAAACTGTCACCAGTACGATGCTCGGAGTTTTCAGAGAAGATCCAAAGACCAGAGACGAGTTCCTCACCCTCATCCGGACCTGAACCGGACCTGGTGGGACCTGGTGGGACCTGGTGGGACCTGGTGGGACCTGGACGGACCTGGACGGACCTGGACTCTGTGATGAGTCTCTGGATTTTTATATGAATCTCCAAGAGTCAAATCCACCAATGTTTTTCTCGGGTTTGTGTCTTCGGGGGAAGTTTGATTCTGTGATTTATCGTGACATTTCATGGCACAAATCTCCAACTGATACAAACTGGATCCAAATCTATTTTTATTAGTTTTTATTTTTCACTGAAATGACTGAGTTACTTTCAGTGTTATTTATATTTGTGTATTTTACAGTTTTATCTTCGTGTCGGAGCAGCTGATCTTTTTATTACAGCTGATTGTAATAAAATAAAATCAGCTGCTGTTTTTATGAGTCGGGGGGGGGGGGGGGGGGGGGGTCCAGACTTCAGTCCAAGTTTGATCTGGTTCAGGTCTTAGTCTCTGTGTGTGTGTGTATATGTGTTTGTGTTGTGTGTGTGTGTGTGTGTGTGTGTATGTTGTGTGTGTTGTGTGTGTGTTGTGTGTTTGTGTGTGTGTGTGTGTTTTTGTGTTTGTGTGTGTGTGTGTGTTTTTGTGTTGTGTGTGTGTGTGTGTGTGTGTGTGTGTGTGTGTGTGTGTGTGTGTGTGTGTGTGTTTTTGTGTTGTGGCCTTGTATTTGTACAAATTTTAAAACTGTATATTTTTTTCTTTGTGACTTTTGTCTTTTTAACCCAAAAAAACTCAAATAAATAAATAATCCAACTAGAACTGTCCCAGTGATTTACTCCACACACACACAGACCTGGACCGGGACTGGACCGGGACCTGGACCGGGACCTGGACCGGGACTGGACCGGGACCTGGACCGGGACCTGGACCGGGACCTGGACGGGACCTGGACCGGGACTGGACCGGGACTGGACCGGACCTGGACCAAGACCTGGACCAGGACCTGGACCGGGACCTGGACCGGGACTGGACCAAGACCTGGACCAAGACCTGGACCGGGACCTGGACTGGGACTTGGACCGGGACTTGGACCGGGACTTGGAGATCCTGGTGTTTGTGGGTTTTGTCCAGTTTAATTTTCAGGTCTTTTTCACAGAAATGTTAAATCTAAATATTGATCTTAAAGCGGCTCTCGGCTCCCGGCTCCGGCTCCCGGCTCTCGGCTCCCGGCTCCCGGCTCCTCTCGGCTCTCTCGGCTCTCGGCTCTCGGCTCTCGGCTCTTTGGTCTCTGGTCTTTATCTCGGAGCGTTGACATTTTCGTGTCCTTTACGCACGAGACGGAGCCGAGCTTCAAAAACACCAAAACAAAACCATTTAACGCTCAATTTCCCCAAAATGTCACCGACGACATTTTACTCCAAAAACATTTTACTCCAACACTTTTACTCTCCACCACCTCCACCACCTCCACCACCTCCACCACCTCCACCACCTCCTCCACCACCTCCTCCACCACCACCTCCACCACCACCTCCTCCACCACCACCACCACCTCCACCACCAACCTCCACCACCTCCACCACCTCCACCACCACCTCCACCACCTCCACCACTCACCTCCTCCTCCACCACCACCACCACCTCCTCCACCACCTCCACCTCCTCCACCACCTCCACCACCTCCACCACCACCACCACCTCCACCACCTCCATCCACCACCTCCACCACCTCCACCACCTCCACCTCCACCACCACCTCCACCACCTCCACCATCCACCACCACCTCCACCACCACCTCCACCACCTCCACCACCTCCTCCTCCACACCTCCACCACCTCCACCACCACCTCCACCTCCACCACCTCCACCACCACCTCCACCACCACCTCCACCACCTCCACCACCTCACCACCTCCACCTCCCACCTCCACCCCACCTCCACCACCTCCACCACCTCCACCACCACCACCTCCACCACCTCCACCACCACCTCCACCACTCCACCACCCACCATCCACCACCTCCACCACCTCCACTCCACCACCACCACCACCTCCACCACCTCCACCACCACCTCCTCTCCACCTCCTCCACCACCTCCACCTCCACCACCTCCATCCACCACCTCCTCCACCACCTCCTCCACCACCTCCACCTCCACCACCTCCATCCTCTCCTCCTCCTCCTCCTCTCCTCCTCCTCCTCCTCCTCCTCCTCCTCTCCTCCTCTCTCTCTCCTCTCTCTCCTCCTCTCTCCTCCTCCTCTCTTCCTCCTCTCTCCTCCTCTCTCTCCTCTCTCCTCCTCTCTCTCTCCTCTCTCCTCCTCTCCTCCTCTCTCCTCCTCTCTCTCCTCTCTCTCTCCTCCTCTCTCCTCTTCCTCCTCCTTCCTCCTCCTCCTCTCTCTCCTCTCCTCTCCTCCTCCCTCTCCTCCTCCTCCCTCTCTTTCCTCCTCTCCTCCTCCTCCTCCTCCTCCTCTCTTCCTCCTCCTCTCCCCTCCTCTCTTCTCCTCCTCTCCTCTCTCTCTCTCTCTCCTCCTCTCTCCTCCTCCTCTTCCTCCTCTCTCCTCCTCTCTCCTCCTCCTCCTCCTCCTCCTCCTCCTCCTCCTCCTCTCTCTCCTCCTCTCTCCTCCTCTCTCTCCTCCTCTCTCCTCCTCCTCCTCCTCTCTTCCTCCTCTCTTCTCCTCCTCTCTCCTCCTCTCTCTCTTCCTCCTCCTCTTCCTCCTCTCTTCCTCCTCTCTTCCTCCTCTCCTCTCTCCTCCTCTCTCCTCCTCTCTTCCTCCTCTCTCCTCCTCCTCTCTTCCTCCTCCTCTCTCTCTCTCTCTCCTCCTCTCCCTCCTCCTCCTCTCCTCCTCCTCTCCTCTCTCCTCCTCTCCTCCTCTCTTCCTCTCTCTCCTCCTCTCTCTCCTCCTCTCTCTCCTCCTCTCTCCTCCTCCTCTCTCCTCCTCCTCCTCTCCTCCTCCTCTCTCTCCTCCTCTCCTCCTCCTCTCTCTCCTCTCTCCTCTCTCTCCTCCTCCTCTCCTCTCTCCTCCTCCTCTCTCTCCTCTCTTCCTCCTCTCTTCTCCTCCTCTCTTCCTCCTCCTCCTCTCCTCTTCCTCCTCTCTCCTCCTCCTCTCTTCCTCCTCTCTTCCTCCTCCTCTCCTCTCCTCCTCCTCTCTCCTCTCTCTTCTTCCTCTCTCCTCCTCTCTCCTCTCTCCTCTCTCTCCTCCTCTCTCCTCCTCTCTCCTCCTCTCTCTCCTCCTCTCTTCCTCCTCTCTCCTCTCCTCTCTCCTCCTCTCTCCTCCTCTCTCTCTCCTCCTCTCCTCCTCTTCCTCCTCTCTCTCCTCCTCTCCTCCTCCTCTCTCTCCTCTCTTCCTCCTCCTCTCCTCCTCCTCTCTTCCTCCTCTCTTCTTCCTCCTCTCTCCTCCTCCTCTCTTCCTCCTCTCTTCCTCCCTCTCTCTCTCTCCTCTCTCTCCTCTCTCCTCCTCTCTCTCCTCCTCTCTCTCTCCTCTCTCTCCTCCTCTCTCCTCCTCCTCTCCTCTCTCTCCTCCTCTCTCCTCCTCTTCCTCCTCTCTCTCCTCTTCCTCCTCTCTTCCTCCTCTCTTCTTCCTCCTCTCCTCTCCTCCTCTGTTCTTCCTCTGTGTTTCAGTGTCTCCCTCTGGTGGCCGGACTCGTGTTTAACAGGTGGAGTTTAGTTTGTCCAGCAGAGGGCGCAGTCACACTGTCCGTTTCACACACAAACTTCACACGATGAACAAGAACAATAAACAAAAAAAGGATTAACAATTCACATGTCAAATATCTGATTTTAAATATTTTATACACAAATGTAGAAAATAAAACCTGTAAAAGTATTTATGATTATTTCAAATTCCAGACAAAAAGTTTTTCTTTTCATGACTTTGGGATTTGTGCAATAATTTAAAGAATTTATACAAGAAGAACAAGAAGCAGTGAAATAAAACACACGTGGGTTTGAAGAAAGTCCGACAGAATTCAATTCAACACATGCATTTTTTTATTTTTATTTTATTTTTTTTATAGGAAAATGTTTGTGTAAAAGTCTGAATATAAAGTCCAAGTTTGACTGTTTAAACTGTAGGTTTTTATCTGTTCACAAATCTGTTTTACACAGTGTTGGGAAGTTTACTTTTAAAATGTAATCCCCTACAGATTACAGATTACACACACCAAAATGTAGTTTGTAATGTAATCCATTAAATTACTTCAAGTGAGTAACGTAATCTGAATACTTTGGATTATTTTATTTGCTGTAGAGAAACAAAGACGAGGAAATCTGGTTTAGTCCTGGTTTAGTCCTGGTTTAGACCTGGTTTAGTCCTGGTTTAGACCTGGTTTAGACCTGGTTTAGTCCTGGTTTAGTCCTGGTTTTAGACCTGGTTTAGTCTTGGTTTTAGTCTTGGTTTTAGACCTGGTTTAGTCCTGGTTTAGTCCTGGTTTAGACCTGGTTTAGACCTGGTTTAGTCCTGGTTTAGTCCTGGTTTAGTCCTGGTTTAGTCCTGGTTTAGTCCTGGTTTAGTCCTGGTTTAGTCCTGGTTTAGTTCAGCAGTGAGTGGAATTACTGAGAAAAAAACAAAATACAAAAAAAGGGATTTAGCCCCAAATGTGAAAACAGTAAAATCCCTCTGTGTTTAATCCGTTTATTTCAACAAAGTAACTGTAATCCAATTCCCACTCACTGAAACAGTAACTGTAACTGAATACAGTTACTCATCATTTGTACTCTGATTACTCCAGTACATGTAATCTGTTACTCCCCAACACTGGTTTTACTCATCTAAATTTAGTTCATTTGTACAAGTTTATAATTTACACAAAAATAATGTTAGAAATATTTTGGTCATTTTGGTCGACAGAAACTTGAACAAAACTCCACAAAAGCAGAAGAGAAACGATGAGCTGAGGCGGAGGAAAAGTCTGGAAGAATCTGGAGGATTTTCTACAACAGATTTAACAGTTTTATTAAAGTCGCTGTCGTCAAATGAACAAACAAACAAAATATAATTTACACAAAAATAATCATGAATCATTTAAAATAAACTCACATAAATTTAATAATGTCAAAACAACCAGAATCACACAAACAACTTTACAACACAGTTTGTGTTTGACGGGGAGACTTCACACAGTGTGTGTGTGTTCATGTGTGTGTGTGTGTTCATGTGTGTGTGTGTGTTGTGTGTGTGTTCATGTCTGTGTGTGTTCATGTGTGTTGTGTGTGTGTTCGTGTGTGCGTGTGTGTGTGTTCATGTGTGTGTGTGTGTGTGTGTGTGTGTGTGTTGTGTGTGTGTTGTGTGTGTGTGTGTGTGTGTGTGTGTTGTGTGTGTGTTGTGTGTGTGTCATGTGTGTGTGTGTGTGTGTGTGTGTGTGTGTCATGTGTGTGTGTGTGTGTGTGTGTGTGTGTGTGTGTGTGTGTGTGTGTGTTCATGTGTGTGTGTGTGTGTGTGTGTGTGTGTGTGTGT